CCCCAGGCTCACAGTGGGTTGATTTTTAGGTCCAAGACGGCTGAACAGGGGCCGGCTCCCGATGCCCCCCACCCTCTCCCCTGCACTGGGCACACGGAGCTAGATTCAAGGGCAAACTGCAGTCACTCAGGCGCTCGCCAGCTGCCCTTTCATAAGAACGGGGGTGCTCCGTGCTCCGGAATCCACAAAGCAGACCTGGGGCGAGCTGGGGGTGCGCGCTGGGCCGGGGGCCCTGCTGACCTGCTGCGGCCCCTAATGACCGCGCTCTCCGGGCGGGCGTGCACTCGCCCCTCCCTGCAGGCCGCGGACTCGCGTGGCTTCCAGCCGGGTGCTGGTCTGCACTGTTTATTATTGTTTATTATTTTTCTTGTCGCAGACGGACGCTCGGCCAGCCTGACCAGATAAGACTCCTCAGGCTGGGTGCCCCTTAGCTGCTTCGGGCCCTCTTGCCAATTAAACACTGGCCCGGGGGAGATTTCCACAAAGTTGCCCCGGAGACTACCTGCCTCCTTTCTTTTGAACTGTAATTCACCCTGTTCCAAGTAGCCCTAAAAAGTAAGAAAAGGGCTCCTGATGTACTTCGCCTTTATCCAGGGGACAGGGAAAGCGGTTGGGTAAACACAGCCTCTAGCTCCTTCTTGGGGAAAGAAGTAATTCGGGGCGAGCGGGAAAGCTGCCCATGTAACTACTTTCTCCCTCGGCTCCCCTGCCCCCCACCAACTCGCCTTTCTAAAGACGCACTTAAAATCTAGGAGGCGCAGCTGGGGCCTATCGATGGAAACTTTCCTGTCAAAAGGGGAGGGGGCTGCTGCCCCTAAACTCCTTTAAAATACACGGTCTTTGTGACGTTCATCTGAATTTCAAAGGGCACACCTGTCACTCAGCAAGAGCCCCACAGCCTCGCGTCACTCACGTTGGCGACCCCTCCCCGAGGTTCTGGGCGCGCACCCGGCTGCCCACAGGGTCCAGCACCTGTCTGGCTCCAGGGACCGGGAAGGGCGCGTCGGGTTTAAAGAAATTCCCTTCCCTTGATACACGATCCAGTAAAGAGAAGGTGCCTCTTGCAAAACAGAAGGCGTTTCAAGCACATCCCGGCTCCAATGTGCGTAACCACGAAGCCCAGACACGGGTCCCGGCCGCCTTCCCCGCAGGCTCCCGCGCCCGGACTGGCTGAGCCCCCCGCCAACCTGGACTCACCTGGACAGTCCCCAAGGCATCCCCGGGCTAACGACCTAAACGTGCGGCCAGCACGGACCGCAGGCCCCTCTCACCAGCCCACGCAACCAGCCGCGCGTCGCAGGGGCGCCCCCGGGGGAGCCCACCCGGCGGCGGGGCGCCCCTTCCCCAGCGCACCCCCAAGGCACAGGGGGGCGGAGGGGAAGCGGGGCGCCCCGCAGACGCGCTGTAGCAGCAGAATACTAATTACAGCCAAAAGCTAAGCACCCTCAGGTGAGGTCCACCTTCGCGGAAGGTAAAGGGAGCCCAGCGCGGCTGGGAGAAGGCAGGACCCCGC